AAAAAAAAAAAAAAAAAAAAAAGACAAGGGACGGGGCCACCAGGTGGCGTGATGGATAGAGGTGCCAGATTCACACATGACCAATTGTGGTTTGAACCTGAACCTGGGGGCTTGCTCTCTCGGTTTCCCTTTCTTGCTCTCTCTGGTCAAATTGGAAAATGATGATAATAACAAGTGGAATTAAATAAATAATTCTTTTTAAAAAAGAGAGAGAAAAGGGATATAATTTGCATTGAAGTCACAGAGTTAGAAGATAATAGAGCTTAGATCAGATCCCAGGTCTCTCTGGGTGAAGAGTTCCTGCGCCCTTAAAAGCTCAGCTGTGCTTTTATTCACTATTCATTCTGCAATTAATTTTTGAGCACCAGTTATAGATATATGCCAGGTACTGTGCTAAGCATTACAGATATTGATGTGAATGAGACAGAGGAGGGCCTTGTCCTCATGTTGCTCACATTTTCAATATAGGAAAATATGCAGTAAACCCAGGGTTATGAAAGAAAGAAAAAAATGAAACCAGCAGGCAGTGTGGTGATTAAGCCACTGGATTCCCACTTGGCCAACCATAGTTCAAGTCTTTTTTATTTTGGAGAGGTTTTTGCTATAGGGCTGTGTGCTCGCCAGAAAGACAGAGAGACAAAAAGACAGAAAGCAAGAAATCATCCCCCAGGGGGGATGGTCACACCGCAATCCCTTCTCCTCCATTCTCCTCTCGGGATCTTGGGCACGCACGCACACGCGCCCAGCGTGAGTTCTAAGCCACCGGGTCCGGGACGCGAACCGCGGTCGACTACATGGGAGTCCAGCGACACAGCTATTACGCTAACTGCTGGTTCCCCATAGTTCAAGTCTTAAATGAGCAACAGCTTGAAAATCACACTGGATAGGGCTGGCAGGTAGCATGGTGGTTAAAGGTGTGCTGGACTCCCACATCACCGACTGCAGTTTGAGTTCCAGACCTGGAAGCTTGCTTTCTCATTTGTCCCCTCTTTCTCTAACTCTGCCCCTCTCTGGTCAAATTAAAATAAATAAAGTTGTTTTTTTATTTTTTAAAGGGGGAAGAAGAAAGAAAGTCACACTAGGTATATGTACATGTGTGCTGAAAATCCTGAGAGCAGAATGAAGGAGAAGGGACTATAGTGTGATCTCCCTGAGGGGTGATTTTTCACTTCTCCCCTCTCTGGTGAACACACACACCTGAAGGCAAAAACCTAAAATGTAAAAATAAGTAAATGAAGATAGAGAAAGACAAAGGACTGGGAAATCTTTACTGTGCAGGGAGACTCAGAAAGACCTCTCTGACCAACATTTTTTTAAAAAGAATTATTTATTTATTTGTTTGTTTGTTTGTTTGGAGAGGTTTTTGCTATAGGGTATGTGTGCTTGCCAGAAAGAGAGAAACAGAGACAAAGAGACAGAGAGTTAGAAATCACCCCCCTGGGGGAATGGCCACACCACAACCCCTTCTCCTCCATTCTCTTCTCGGGATCTTGGGCATGCACGCACACGCGCCCAGCTTTAATTTAAGCCACCAGGTCCAGGACTCGAACTGTAGTCAACTACATGGGAGTCCAGCAACATATCCATTACACCAACTGCTGGTCCCTTATTTAGCTTTTTAAATTAATTAATTCATTTATTTAAATTTTACCAGAGAGGAACATAGAGAAGGAAAGTGAGAAAGCAAGCCACCAGGTCAGGGACTCAAACCGTGGTCAGCCATGTGGGAGTCCATCACCCTACATGCTCCACGCCACCTGCCAGCCCCAACATTTTTTAAGAGACATTTTTACTATAGAGTACATGCACTTGTCAGAGAGACAAAGAGAAAGTGAGAAATCACCCCTCAGGGTGATAGCCCCACCGCTATCCCTTCTCCTCTTGGGATTTGGGGCCCTCATGCATACTCACCCGGCGTGAGTTTTAAGCCTCTGGTTCAAGATTCCAACTGTCGACTCTGAGGGAGTCCATCAATGTAACCATTATGCCATCTGTTGGCCTGAATGGTGAGGAAGAGCTGAGCAGAGAGAACAGCAGGTACAGAGGCTCTGAAGTATGGAAATAAACTTGATGAGTTCAGAGCAGTACACAGATCAGTGGTATGGCTGCACAGAATGGGGTGGGGGGTTGAGTGATAAGAAATGAGGTTGGTGGAGCCAGCAGGTGGTGTGGTTGAGGCACTGGACTCCCACATGGCCACTGCAGTTCCAGTCCCCAACCTGGTGGTTTGCTTTGTCACTTTCCCTTTTTCTCTCTCTCTCTGGTCAAATTAAAAATAAGTAAGTCAGGGCCAGCAGGTGGCATGGTGGTTAAGGATGCTGGACTCTCACATGGCCAACCATGGTTCGAGTCCTAGACCTGGTGGTTTGCTTTCTCACTTTCCCTCTCTCTCTCTTGCTCTGTACTTCTCTGGTCAAATTAAAATAAATAAAGCTAAATAAAACAATTCTAAAAAAAAAAAAAGTTAAGTGTATACATACATAGATAGATAAAATGATTCTTAAAAAAAAAAAAGAAACTAGGTCGGATCATGTGTGTTTTCTCCCTGGAAAGATGGCAGGGTCTAGGGAGGCTCTCTATGAAGGTGGTCTAGTTAGTGGGTTTATGAGAAGAGAGAAATGGACAAGAATGATCTTGTAGGGCCTGGAATGCCAGGCTTTGGGGTTTGGGACCTTGTCCCAGGGGTACTGGGAAGTCACAAGAGGGTGGTGAGCAGAGAGGGGCTGTCAACTAAGTGTAGACCACCCCTGTGAGGGCATGTGAGGGATGGCTTGGCGGGAGAGACGGAGCGCCAGGGTGAAGGATAAGGGTCTCTGGGGAAAGGACAGGGCCCGAACCAGGAACAGGGGATGGGGCAGGACAGGGCTGGAGTTTAGTGGGCTGTGGGAATAGCACCCAGAGATATGACCTGATTCCCCTTTTCCTGCCAAGCTGGAGAAGGGGAACCTTCGATTGAAGCAGCTGAAGCGGCAGCTGGAGGAGGCCGAGGAGGAGGCCCAGAGAGCTAACGCCTCGCGCAGGAAGCTGCAGCGTGAACTGGAAGATGCCACTGAAACCGCCGACGCCATGAACCGTGAGGTCAGCTCCCTCAAGAACAAGCTCAGGTGAGTCGCAGCTTGCTCGGGCATTGTGGCCGCTGTCCCAACCGGGAGGTGACCACGCTGAGGAACCGGCTCAGGTATGCCGCCCAGCCTTACTCCCTAACCGAGGGGGCACAGGAGGCCGAGGCCCGGGTGTGTGGGGACTGGAGCACCAGGACCCCAGGTAACGTCTTTTCTTCCCGCCCCGCTTCTGTTTCATCTCCCGCCCTCTCTTCTCTCTGTTGCTGTCCGTTCCCAACTCTGTCTATCTCTCGGTCTCTCGGCTTCTTGTCTTCCATCTGTCCGTCCCCCATCTCTGTCTGAATGCTCACTTTCCATCCCATCTCTTCTGTCCCCATCTGTCTTTTTGTCCCCTTCTCTCTATCCGTCTCCTCCTCTCTCTCTGTCCCCCCTCTCGACACCCCACCTCTCTCTATCCTCCATCTCTCTGTCCCCATCTCTCTCTGGTTCCTATCACTCTCTGCCCCCCATCTCTTTTCCTTCCACCGTTGGCCTCTGCCCACCTCTCTTTATCTCATCTCTCTTCCTCCCCCTTCCCCCTTCCCCCTCCTCTGCTGCCCTCCTCTGGGCCTGCGGCCCTGGATTCCCCGCGCAGGCGCGGCCCGCTCACCTTCACCACCCCCACCGTGCGGCAGGTCTTCCGCCTGGAGGAGGGCGTGGCATCCGACGAGGAGGCGGAGGAGGCGGAGCCCGGGTCTGGGCCACCGCCCACGGAGCCCGAGGGGCCCCAGCCAGCCCAGCCCCAGTGACCCCACCAGCCCGGATGCACTAACAAGCGGGGTCTCGGGGGCACCTGTCCCAGGAACTCGCCCTCTGGCTCCTTGCACTTTGGAAATGGTGCCGCCGTCTGGCGCTTCGGCATTGATCAACTCCACCCCGGACCCCTGAAACCCACCAGCGGAAGACCCTGAAACCCAGGAGCTGGGTGGGGCGGGTGGGGAGGCCTGGCCGAGCTCACTGGTGAATTTGGAATCAGCGGAAAAGCTGTGGCCGCGCCCGCTCCTGCTCCCCCCGGCCTTCCGCGGTTTGAGTGACCTTATGTATGTATTACAAAGGACGCGAGTGGGGGCGCCCCTGCCCCGTGCGGTCCGTGTGCCCTTTCCCCCGGGGCGCCTCTCTACTCGCCCGCTCCTATGGCGCTGGTCCTCCGCACCCTTC